GGGCACGCCGGTGCCGGGGCGCCGCCGCGGCTCCTCCACGGCCCCCAGGGCGGCCAGGCGGAGAGGCAGGGGGCTGACGTTCCCCAGGTGGTGCCAGGCAGCCTCGAGCCATTGCTGGCAGGCTTGCAGCAGCAAGTCCAGAACGTGCACCAGAAGGTGCAGGGCGAGCCGTGGCTCCATGTTGCCACCTGCGGCGGTCCCCCCCGAAGGGAAGCACCGACACAGACGGGCACAGAGACCGACGCTTTGCTGTCCCTCGGCGAGGTTGGCAAGCAAGCAGGAAAAGCTGAGAACCGGCTGTCCAGGGGGGGTCCCTTTAAGCACGAGCCTCAGATAGCCTCAGACAGCAGCCACACAAAGCAACTGCTGACCTGATGCCCTGCCAGAACCGGTTTCAGCTGCCCTTAAATGCCCCCCTGCGTCCAATCAGTGTGGACGCGCTAGTTCGAACTAGCAAAACGCTAGTTCGAACTAGTTTTTAGTTCTAGATGCGCTAGTTCGAACTAGCTTAGTTCGAATTAACTAATTCGAACTAAGTTAGTTCGAACTAGCGCTGTAGTGTAGACGTACCCTATCTGCGCAGCACAAGCATCTCAAACTCCTACCCAGGGCTGTGACTTCCTCTGGTAAAATCCATTTTGGCAACCGTGTGAATTTTTTGCACTGATTTGCTTTCCCTTTATTTCACTGATGCATCATTGGAACCATGACGGTGCATGGAGAAAAAAAGCCAGCCCTCCCCAAGCAGCAATAAGAAAACTCCCTTCCACCAGGGTATTTTTAGCAGGGTCATCACTGCTCCTGCAGTTTTGATAGAAAACATTTTGCTGGAACCCAAGAGGAAAAGGCTCCATGAATCTGTTCTTAGAAGAGGAACCAAAGCTGTCATGACTGTTTGGCACTGGGGACATTAGTGGGTGCTTTCTTATTCTATTTCCTTTGTGACTCCTGCCGCTGCAAATGTCTAAAACCTTTCAAAGTGTAAGAAACACCCCAAACGAAGGGATTCTTGCTTTTACGGTAGTTCTGGACAATGAATCGGCTAAACCAGGAGTCCCTGGGAGTGAGATGAAAAGGGAATGGGTTGTGCATTTCAGTAGCAGTTGAGAACTCTCTTGAGAGCCTTGCTAAACCAAGCTGGGGAAGATACGCTGTGTAATGTTCTGCAAAGCTTGGCCTGGAAGGCAAATTTGCTGCTTGAAATGTGCCTGACGTGTTCTTAGACTGTGGCATAGACCATAACAGCGGCTGTTTCCTGAAGGGCAGCATCACATTCGTGTGCCTGGCTGCAAAGGAAGTGGCATGTAGACAGCTAATTCATGGGGATTCACCCCATGGTTATTCCAGATTCACCCCATGGTTATTCAAAGCACCGTGCTCCTCAGCCTCAGACGTCCCCAGGGATCCCCTGACCACTCACCCGTGCTGCAGTCAGCTCCAACGTACCCGGCGGGGCACTGGCACATCCCTGTGGTGGGCTCACAATAGCCTCCATTCTTGCATTTGCACTGCTGCTGACAATTGCGGCCGTACCAACCAGCTGAGCATCCTGGGGGGAGAAAAATGAAAACCCCCAATGCTTAGAAAAATGACCCAGCCCAGGTACTGATCATGCTGCCGGTGCAATGACATACGCAGGGCCAGGGTCTCCGCCGATTTTTATTACTAAACGCTCACTGGGCGAGGGCAAGGCAAGCTGATTAGAAACAGGGCGCAGCACGCTGGCAATCTACAGCGTCCGTTAATTTACTCAACGGCAAACCGTGGTTAACCCCGTTTACGTGCGCAACCGGTGACCATTGGCATGAGTGATGTGGAGACGAACGAGTGCCCAAGACCCAGAGAAGGCTGGAAGAAGGTCATTTCCTGTCTATTTTGAGTGAGATGCTGCTGATTTCCCGACTAATCGGAATAACAAGCGCACGGAGAGCCAAGGAAACCAGGCCTGCTGCTAGGGAAGACTGAGGGAGCCAGGGCTGTTCTTGCCTAACGGACAGCCTGAGGGAACGGGCTGTTTTGATTAGCTACAACCCACAGAGTGTGACAGGAATAATCAAAGCGCCAAGGGCATTCTGGGTTCCTTCATCCTCCCAGTGCCTGCCGCCGTAAAGCCTGGCTGCTCAGATGCAAGATAAATCCCAGGTTCTATCTTGCACTAACCAAATCGTATCTTGCTATAGATTTTAGAAATGTGCACCTGTCTGGCTGAGTCCATTTCTTCAAGACCTTCTTCTAAATGGTAAGAGCTAGGGCCACCAAAGTCAGTAGGAAGCTTCCTCTTATCATAAATTACAGAAAGGATCGGGTTTGCTTGTGCCAGGACAATGGGATGTGCCTGGCATTTGATTGGTTCTCATAAAATGGAAAGGAGAGAGTCTAGCAGGGACAGTTATACTGCAGAATGAACTCAGGGGGGCAGCAAAGGGCCAGAGATGGGGACCAGGACAGCCATAACCCCATTGGGCCAGCAGGGGCAGGAGTGGAGAAGGGGACAGCTAGCTATTATATATTTCAGAGTGTTTGTTTGTGTATCTGTTTGTCTATGTGTCTGTCTGTCCCCCCAGCACTCCTCCCCCAGCTGCACTCCTCTGCAGCAGCCACGGAGAGGCCCTAAGCTGTTGTGGTGAGAGAGGGCTCGGGTTGCCCTCTCTCCGTGGGGCAGCCTGCATACAAACCCCTCCTCCCCAGCCCCACTCCAGAGCAATGATCGAAATGAAGCAAATCAAAACTTATTTGCGTTAAGGACCAAGCAACGCTGGAGGTGCCATACTGGAGCAGTCCCAAGGATCATGGGGTTCAGTTTGTGGCCCTCACTAGTATCCAGTGTGGCGGAGAAAGGTGGCGCCCCCCGTCCTCTGAGAAGTGAATTGTGAAGAAACTTCCCACCCGCCGTGCAGCGCATGCTCCTTGGGGCGCGCAGCGTGCGGAACGCTGCCCCTGACTGGCTCGCGTCCCGCGGGGATGCTGTCGGGGAAGTGTCGTGAGTTCCGACAACACGGGAGACAAAGGGGCGAGCGAACTCACTGAGCTGGCAATGGTTTCCATGGTAACCAGGTGCGCAGATACACTCCCCCGTGACAGGGTGACAGTCCTGGTTCGTGGCCGGGCACTGACAAGCCTGGGCACAGTTCAGCCCAAAGGTCCCTGCCAGACAGGCTGTGGGAAGAGAAGAGATGAAGACAACACACTGTTATTGGGGGGGGCAAATGTCTCCCCTTCCCCCCATGGAATCTCCATTGCTAGAGGTTTTTAAATCCCAGCTTGACAAAGCCCTGGCTGGGATGAGTTAGTTGAAGTTGATCCTACTTTGGACGAGGGGTTGGACTCGATGACCTCCTGAGGTCTTTTCCAGCCCTAGAATTCTCTGGGCCAGCCTTTTATCTTGTGTGAGTTCCTCCTGGCGATAGTAAAAGCTTGCCTTAGTAATAACTATGCCCTTCATGGCAGTGATTTTCAAACTACGGATGGCAGGACTGGGTTGCAGAAAGACAGGCCCTGGGTCCCCTGCTGTAGGGTGACCAGGTGACCCGTGGGGGTGCTAAGGCAGCTTTCTGCCTGTCCTGGCACTGTGGAGCATGCTGTGCCCTGGAAGGAGTCAGCAATAGGCCCCTGCTCCTAGGTGGAAGCAAGTAATCAACTGTCACTGAGATAAAAAAGCAAAGTAAGCCAAAAAATGGAGCCCATCCCATTTCAAACCAAGCCCAAAACGAGCTCCGTCCATTTGTGCTTGGCCCTGCCTGGCGCCAAACCAGGAACCAGCCAATGGGAGTGTGGCACCAGTGGCGCCAAACCAGGAACAGACCAATGGGAGTGTGGCGCCAAAGGAGCTGGACCTAATTCTGGCCACTTCCAGGGTGCAGTGCAGTCCCCTGCACCAGGATAGGCAGGAAGCTGCCTCACCATCCTGCTGCACCACTGACTGGGAGCCGCTGGAGGTCAGCCTGTGCCCCAGCAATCCTGTGTCCCAGCCCCAAGCCCCCCCCCGCAG